CAGTCAGAAACTCCCACAAGACTATTTTAGGCTGGACATAAGGAAAAACTTCTTTACTGTCTGAGCCCCCAAGGCCTGGAACAAACCCCCCAGAGGTGGTGCAAGCATCTACTCTGGACACTTTCAAGAAACATTTGAACATTTATCTTGCTGGGATCCTTTGACTCCACCTGACTTCCTGCCCCTTGGGCAGGGGGCTGGACCCGATGATTTTCCAAGGTCTCTTCCAGCCCTAATGTCTATGAAATCTATGAAATCACGCAATTCATTGGTCAGTTGCGCAATGTGTTTAGACTGGCCACATACAAAGGAATGATTGCAGGATGAAAATGACTCCCCAGCTCTAAACAGCCCACCTGCTAGGAAGTTAGTGCTTGAACATGTGTAACAACTGTAGAGCTAGTTTCTAACCAGCTTTCATTTGAATGTGTAGCTGGACCCTCCTTATATGCACCAGCCCCTTCCTCTTTCCCCCCTTGGCTAGACCCAACACAATCAACATGTCCATGTATTTGCTTACACTTAAGCACATGTACATTTATTTCCTGGCATCCAGGCACGCTTTGGACCTGCTGGCATTATGGGCTAGATTCCACCTTGATTTGCATCCTTTGGAAGCCAAAGATGTAACTCCCTCCCTCCCTCCAAAACTGACACTAGATTTTAAACAGCTTTTAAATCAAATGACCACCAGGGAAGCAGCAGCATGATTCAGTGGGTAAGATGGCATTGCATAAGTGCTAAGGGGTGGCATTTTATTACACTGGTTAGCTTTCTTCACTGAAGTCCCAATTTCAGCCTTTGAATAATGGATAACATCGGTCCTCTCCTGTGTGTATGACAGAATCCCTGATAGTCAGGTTCAATTTTGAAGTGTAATAAAGTGAACTGTGTTGGCTGGTTTCTTGATCTATAATTCACAGTAAAATAAATCCTAGTTTACTTGATGTAATGGTGCACCCTTAACCTTTTCTGTCTTGCAGCAGTCATTCAGGACACGCTGGGTGCATCTACATGTGCAATTAGCACGTAGCAATACGCTCCAGCGCAGTTTGTACCAGAGTTTTTTGCTTCCAAGCGCAGTGTTACACGTGTGCCTGGGACCACAGCACATTGAGCTGGGTCAGGTCAGAGCAGCCCTGGATGGCAGGTGTCCAGGGGAGGTCAGCCTGGCAGCCTGGGGCTATGCCAGCCTGGCTTAATGTGCTGCAGAGGGGCTGGCTGGGGCACAGTGCCAGGCTAGCCAGCAGGCAGCACCCACACTATAGCACCCTCATGCCCCAGCCCACCCTGGTCACCGTCTACACTTCCATTTCTGTGCATGGAACTACTCCGCTGTAGGATAATACTTGTCCCGGACAGTACTATCTTACAGCAGAGTTCATTTACTGCATGTGCATGTGTAGATGGTGATACCTTACTGTGGAGCTAATTAATCAGTTGTACAGTAAAGCACATGTGTTTCATAGATTTCATAGATTTCACAGACATTAGGGCTGGAAGGGACCTCAGAGGATCATCGAGTCCAGCCCCCCGCCCAAAGGGCAGGAAGTCAGCTGGGGTCATAGGATCCCAGCAAGATAAGCATCCAATTTGCTCTTGAAGGTGTTCAATGTAGGTGCTTGAACCACCTCTGACGGCAGGCTGTTCCAGACCTTGGGGGCTTGGACAGTAAAGAAATTCTTCCTTATGTCCAGCCTGAAACGGTCTTG